TTTTTCTCTCCAGAAAGCTGTAGTATCAACAGTGTTCTGAATTAATTACAGAAATGAAGGAAAAAATTAAGTAATCAATGGATGAATTATGAATTACTGACTGACTGACTGAATGAACAAATGATTGAATGAATGAATGAATGAATGAATGAATGAATGAATGAATTATATACAGTATGTGTTTACTTGTGTGGATAATATTTGAAGTGCATTGTTTAATTTGTATGAATTTCTTCGATATTTCTTCAATATTAGCCAGGAATATTGGGCACAGTCCTATGGGCACATATCTGCAGCCAGTATGACCAGTCAGTATTCTGGTCAATGGCTAAGTCTCTGCATATTACAATTAATGTAAAGATCCACATATCAGTGCAAAGGGAGTAACACAGGATTTTAAAGGCAGTCAAGTAATTCTCCGACTCAGAACCGCAGAACTGTATGTTCAGGGAGGTTTGGATGACTGGGGGGGGGGGGGGGGGGGGGGGGGGGGGGGGGGGGGGGGGGGGCACATTGTTCACTGGAAAGTGGACCAGCTGTCCAACACAGGAATTTCCCTGCACAGAGCTGGGCTGCAAGGGAGTCACACAAACAGACCAGTAGCAAGTGGGATGAGCCAGTCCGTCGTCGTGAAGCGAAAGCCCCCCAGCTGGGGCCCCCTATCGTGATGGGAAAGGGAAGAGGGGTTACCCCACTTGTCTTCTCAAAATCAAACAGAGACGGCAGGATGCGGCCACATTTGAGCTGGGGGGGGGGGTCGGGGTGAGATGGACAGCCAATGGTAGCCGAGGCAGGAGGTGCATCCTGTCAAGAAGTCAAGTCTACTGTCAGGCGCAGAGTGAGTCCACATGGTGGTAGGGATGGGGGACATTTCCCATGTGCTTCTGGGAGACCCTCTAAGCCATCCATCTCCAGGATAATTCACTCATCAGGGATCTTCACTCAGTGGACGTGAGGAACTGGCTCGACACCCAGAGAAGTACATTTCCGGGAAGGCTGCGCGTGAACACATGTTGGCAGGCCGCCTTTCACGGACGCGTGTTCGCCTCTAATCGCGCGCAGTCCACCTGCCGTTTTTGAACGCGGAAATAAAAAGTCGAAATTCCATAAATCGAAATATAATTGCATTTTCCCTCCGATCTTGTAGGCTACTCAATCTAGCTTAATTTATCTAAGCAGAAGGAAGAAAGATCAAATCTTTCACGAAATACAACCTGTCACTAACCATAATTGATTCCATTTCATTATAGAGCAAGTGTGCAAGTTACAAACGCTCCAGAAACTTATCGATCATTTGTTCTGTTCTGCGGATAAAATGGTGAAAAAAAAACGTTTTGTAAAATATTATTTTTTTCTTTAATTTATAAGTGTTAGATTCGGGTCCTTTCCAAATGTCATTATGTCGGTAACTATAAAATATAATCAAATAATAAAAAAGTCACCAAAAACAAAGCTAAAACAAAAGATCGTGGGCATCGTTAGGTCCGATCACTCGGGGCTATGGCACCGAGTATTTTAGCCCCGATGCCAGTTATCTTCCTTCAAAAAAAAAGTCAAGCCTCAGACAAACTTGACTTAGCCCCTGGTCTTTTCAATAGCTTGAAACGCCCCTGCGAAAGACCATAAATAAAGAGACACTATATTGCTTACACCTTATTGTAACAGACGGATAATGCCTGTTCCCTACTATCATAGCGGACTCGCGCCCTCTCTTCACCCCGCTCGCTGTTTACCAGCTTATTTAACCTCAGGAGGGTTATGGGCGCGTGGCTGTCTCATGGACATAAACAGAGCAACATGGATGTTCAGAGATCTGCTGAACCGGGGTGTTACAGCGCGTTCCCGAGCAGACAGAGCACGTGCCATAGTTAGTGTCAATTATCCATTTATTCCTTGTTTACTGATTATTGGCGGTCTTCGCCTACTCCTGCCAATTAGGCAGTTTTGGGCATATCGACACCTGGCATGAGGAAGAAAAAAATATCACGAATGTATTTCAGTTACCCTTTTATATTAGATTATATATTCTTTAAAAGAGATGCACTTTGCTCTGATTAAAAAACATAGCCGCTATTTTGCTTGATTTGCTTGGGTACAGAACACACTTATTACACCGTGTTGGAATTGTCCTGGTGGACAAAATGAGGTAGGCCTACATAAATCAATATCGTATCAATAATGCTTCTTACAATTTGAAACACGTGTAATAACGTAGTTTTTGGATGAAAGGTTTATTTAAATAATTCGATTTTGTATATAAAGTACATTGCGCATGATGTTTCGTGTTAAAACAAGAAAAAATAGGACGCGTGACAAACAGTTAGACCACGCATTTAGTCGATTTGACTGACGGATTTAATCTTGTAACACTTTTCCCATATAGCCATTAAACTCTTTGTTGAGTTTTTCGTTTTAAATGGTTGTCTTCCAGATTAGCAATCTCTCCCCCCCCACACCCCCCCACCCCCGCTTAAAAAAATAATTTGCAATTTGAAAGGCTCAATCTTATTTGCGTTTTTTACTTGCCGCATCCATTATGTCGGAAACTAAATATAGTTAGCATCCAATCTACTTTGAACAGCAAATGCAACTAAATACAAACTGTCATGGTATGCTCGATACATTTTGACACTGACAACTCGATTCAGACCCACGTATGAGGGAAGGGTTTGAGTTCGCCTGGTTCTTCGTGCAAGTGCCCCCGGCTCTCAGACTTGTCTCCACGCGCTTGCCCGTGGCGATTCTCTGTTAACGCGTTAAGAGTCGCGGACTAGTTGATGGACCTGGCGCCAGGGAGGACCGGCCAGGTAGACGTGAGAAAGGCGATACTTCCAGAGGGTGGAGAGCTGGATGGAAGACAAACAAAGACAGAAAGAGTCTGGCCATGATTATTGCCTAATTATTCTGGTGAACTTCGAATAACATGAAATATCTATCTATCTAAATTTGCACTAGATTTTGTATAATCGATACGTTATGAATGACCGGGAAAACTCAGATTTTATACGTTTAATAGAACACTTACATAGAGACGTCGGGTAGTTTACTAACCTTGATTTGATATAACTTAGATAAATGTATCGGGTCGTATATACAGAAATATATAACGGTGTAGAATGTAAACGGCTGTTGCTGCTTGATTTGCCTTAATTGTTTCACGCGATAAGCTGCATCGGTGGGACTGCACCTGGAGCATTTCTTCCTTAATTATCTACTATAGGTGCTGGAAAATTTGCCCAGAATATACCTTTTATTTTTCCTGTACCAGGGAGTACACGTCACACAAAATGTCGCAGGGCGTTTCATTAAAGTTTAATGTGGGTCAACTGGGCAGCACGAATCCCTGGATCCCATATCAAATATTAATACTTTAATGCTTCTGTTAAATAATCACCTCCCTCAAGCTTTCAGTCAGGAAAGAAATCAATGATACATTGTATTATTTCCGTTTAATTGTAGAACACCATTATCTGTCATTTCCAGCGTAAGCAGTGGGCCTGTGTCTATTTTTCAGACACATAAAGATTTATAATTTGCACCTCAAATGAAATAAAATAATTTTCCTTGCAATAATTTAAATGTAAGCATTTAACATTTTGATGCCACCTTCTATAATGTCTATAGGATGAACAGTTACTTAATTGAAATGTATATCTGTTCATGACTATTTAGTTACTGCAGTAGATAGATAGATAGATAGATAGATAGATAGATAGATAGATAGATAGATAGATAGATAGATAGATAGATAGATAGATAGATGATAGANAACATTTGTACATCAAACTACTGCAGCGAATCATTTCCACGCAATTATCTGTAAGTTTCATTCTCTGAAAACCCGAAGTATTGTATACCTTAATGCGGATAATGGCGCTGTCGAAATATTATTTCTCCAGGACAAATTATCTGACAAGTAACTTAGCTAGAATCGACATTAATTTTCTTCATGCACAGATGTTCCCTCGGCTCATATTACCCATACCCACACGTAACAGGCTCAAATGACTAAAAAAGTTCTGTAGACGAAACACGCAGTGGTCCCTTTCTGCCAGAGTATACCCTGTCTGAAGACTAGCTTAAGTTTTTGAAACTTTTAGGGGTACTTTAGTTTTGCATTGATTACGCTGGTTATGTTTTAAACGAAAAACCCTTGACAATAACACTAAATTCTAATTCTATGCAATGGAATTAAAATAGTTAGTGAAAACAAGTATTACAGGTTTTCAGCATCTATTAATAAATTGATGAATGAATAGAAATAACAAATATTTCCATCCAGTTTAATGGCCTATTTACTGATGATTGAATTTGCTTAATTTCTTTTTTCTGTCATTGTCGGCATACATTTCTGCGCTTGATTTTAACAAAATCCATGCATGCCATAGGCTTACATAAGCCATAGCTATTCAGATTAGACACCAAGAACAATCTATCTAATTATAAACCTTTGTACCGATTGATTAGCCATCTTGGCCTTATTTTCGCTATTGGAAAGGCAAAATGAAATTATTTGTTTTTGAAACATTTAGTGTTTTTCAATGAAAAATGTATGCGGAACTTAAGCGATAATGTGAAGAAATATTGCGTCTGGATTGATTTAAAGTCAAGAGGGAGAAAACAATAAAAATCAACATATTCAATCGATGCAACACAGTCATTAATGATTATATTACGTTCAGGCTTTTTCTAGTGTCAAAAGTATCAAATTTTGTACTTAATTGAAATTTCTGTAGGCCGACTTTAAATTCATATCTGTAAACGTTGTTGCAACATTTGCACTGTATGATGAAAATATAGTAGCTATATTTTTATTGTTATTATTTTTATAGTTATAGTTTATAGTTACTATTGCTCTGTTCTCAGCCTACAGATTGTGTGTATTCATTGTTAACCATACAATTGTATCTATGCCAGTTCAGAACCCTGATCGCTATACGTGACTCTTATTTTCAGCTTTTCAGTGATATTTGCCTGGAGGATCTGGAAATAGCGGCATTTGTATCCGTAAGGTTAAACAAGGATCCGAGGTTAAACAACGCTCCTGCATTGGCCTTAGTAAAACGAACGGAAAATGTGCGTAATTAGAAAGTGTCACAGTTGTTCAAATATGTCTCACTAATGTAAAGGAAGGCAATGTGGCGGCTGGATTGAATTGGGGCCATAATCTCGCTCAGCCTCTTTGGCATTTTGATTGATGCTCTCGCCGTTCCAGCGGGCAGGCTCCGCGAAGTAAGGAAAAAAAGAAGGGAAGAAGGAAAAAAAATAGACAATCGACTTCAGTTAAGCCTTACTCACACACATCCACTCACACCTATTTGAGAACAACTGATGTGAGACGTCGTCTTGAAGTTCAGAGAACTCGGGCTGCGAGAAGGATCTGCGTGTTTTGCGGAGGGTCGGGGACACGATGGATCACATCGGAGTTCATCTCCACCACCCGCACGCAGAGCCCATAAGTTTTGGGATCGATCAGATTTTGAACAATGTTGATCAGGGGAGCTGTATGATTTCCAATTCCCGGCTACAAGATTCGGATTATGGTTTAGGCTGCGTTGTTAGCACTGCCTACAGCACGATGACTGGTAACTACAACGCCAACAATTCCGGAGGTTACGGCGGCAGCGCCTGCAGCGTTACGTCCCTGAACGGCTCTTACAACGTGAGCACCGGCATGAATGTCAACGGAAATAATCTGGGCACGGCTGGCGTGATTCGTGTGCCTGCCCATCGACCGCTGAGTGGAGTTCAATCAATACCCACCAGCATGAGTACAGTGCCCGGCGTGGGCAGCATGAACGCCATCAACAATCTCACGGGATTAACCTTCCCTTGGATGGAGAGCAACAGAAGATATACAAAAGACAGGTTTACAGGTAACTGGGCTAGTTTGAGACCAGTATTTCTGCTTGTAATTGCCACAAATCACATATAGGTACAACATTTACGTAATTCGTGCACAACAGCTACACGGTTACGAATTTCTAAAGGTGTTCCCGAGCTTTTGTCTTATAATAAATATCAGTGCACAATTTAACCGTCAAGGAATTTGAGAATAGGGCTGTTCTCAAGCAGAATATGTAAAATATTAAATGAACTGATAGTTTGACTCAGTTATCCATAATTAGTCATTGGATACAACATCTTAATTAATTATTTGATAATTTGTTTGGTATTTAGTCATTATTTGGCATGGTCTCAGAATTAATCCAAGGACAGTGAGATAAATATTAATATGTAAAAAATTATCAATAAATTGCTGAAATGTGAAGTGTACTTGAAAATGCAAAAAGAAAAGTACTTGATATACCTGACACAGTAAAAAAAATATTACCAGTTACTCGTCATTACAGGAATCGAATACTAATGGTGAATATAGTAGGTGTAATAAATACAGCTGATGTAACTCTTTTAATGAATGATGTTTTTATATTCCAGCAAAGCATTTTGTTTATCTATTTCTCAATTAGAAATGTCGGTGCTGTTCTATATGGAATAGTCAATATTTCTGTGTGATTGCATCAAACATATACATTTGGCGCACAAACCAAAAAATGTTTTTCTAATTGTTATTCTGATTGAGAAATTCATCACAAACAAATAAAATGCTACACTGGTATCTATAAATGATCCTTACCCCAGTATGTAAATTTCAGGATATTTAGCCTATAATTGACAAATGGGCCTTGCTAATTATTACCAGATTTTGTGAAGTTCTGATATTTTAATAGCAATTCCTTAGCTGTCCTCACAATCATCGTTTTAATTACCACATTCTCAACATTGGATATGGCATTGGATTAATTCTTTATTTCCCTATTTGTTTTTTTAAAACAAGCACGCAAACACGCACACACACGCACACATATATGTTCCTATATAAACAGAGACGGGGCTGTTCTGCTATGATCTCACATTTTCACAATATTCGATAAATATTTAAATTCACTCCAACATTATCATAATAATTGAACCCACAGTTATTTGCCTTCTTATTCTAGTATTTTACTGTAGGCCTATTATTTTTGCAGTTACACATGCCCGTTCAGATTTAGGCCTCATTTTTCATTTGTTTCCCCGATCAGTTGTCCACCGGCAGGCCTGCGGCGGACGGCTTCGATCCGCCGGCGGAGGTTGCTTATCCTGTTGACCCGCAAATGCTTCGCTGCCCTCTCGCTGATCTCTGCCGCTTGCTTTCGCCCTGTCTGTCTCCCAATCCAGTGGCGCTCTCACCCTTCAATGTAACACGCCGTATAGGTCACCCGTACCAGAACCGGACCCCGCCGAAGAAGAAAAAGCCTCGGACCTCCTTCACGCGACTGCAGATCTGCGAGCTGGAGAAGCGCTTTCATCGGCAGAAGTACCTGGCGTCAGCCGAGAGGGCGACCCTTGCAAAAGCACTTAAAATGACTGATGCTCAAGTCAAAACATGGTTCCAGAACAGAAGGACAAAATGGAGGTGAGAATATAAGTATTTAAACTAAGCTTGTATTTCGGCTTTTATCGTCAAAATATGGGCGTGTTTCAGTCATTTAATATGTTGGCGGGTTTGCATATTCTGAAAATGAAAAGAATGGATTATAAAGGGATTTTTATATTTCAAAATTTAAGAAAGAAATTCCCACATATCAGTTTTAACCAATGATAAGAATTATTAATTGTTCTATGCAGACTGTCAAAGAGTTTTAAATTAAGAAATCGCATAATGGAGCGTATTATGGGAAGTGGAGGTTATTCAAGCTGGCAGTAAAGAGCGCAAATATGATACCGTTACGACTTATTTTCAGATTAAGAAGGTCTATAAAGTAACAGCGAGAAATTATTATTGTTATTTGGCGATGTTTTATGTGGAAAAATGAGAATTTTCTATATATGGCAATAGAGGTATCATGGTTTCATATACTGCAAATCATCCGAAAATAGGGCTGAATTTTTATATGCAGGCATTTAGAATATAAATACAATTTTAATGCAGGCATGACATGAATAATAATAATGTACCAATACAGTATTATATGCTTGCACGTGTATAATTATGTAAAGTGATGATCCTTGCAGTTACACATGCCCGTACAATAGTGAAATATAATTGATAGACAGAAAAAGCCGACCCGAGTTAAATTAGGATACTTTGCATAATATTACACCCGATGATAAAAACAATAACATTTACTTTGATACTTTATATAAAAGCATATTCTTTTTAAAAAGATACAACGACCACTGAACAATGAAGTATTTTCCTTGCTGTGATTTAGTTCTGTGCATCTCTGTTTTTGCTCTATTAGACGGCAAACAGCAGAGGAGCGCGAGGCCGAGAGACAGCAGGCCAATCGGATTCTTATGCAGCTCCAGCAAGAAGCTTTTCAAAAAACACTGAACCAGCCGGTCACCCCGGACCCGATCTGCCTGCACAACACTTCCCTATTCGCTCTTCAGAATCTTCAGCCTTGGACTGAAGACACCAGTAAAATCAGCACGGTGTCTAACTGTGAATAACGGAACTGAAAAACAAACGCTTATTTGTGACTTTGTAGCGCAAAACAAAAGGAAAAAAAAAACATGCGGGGGAGAAAAGGATCAGACCAGCGATTTCGTATACAAGATACACAGCGTATCAAACTGTACCTTAAAATATGATGTCAGAAACATTAAAAGACTTTTATCGGGCTATTATGCAAACTACCAGTCACCAGGATAACGAAACTACCTGGTACAGCTAACAATTAATATGAATTTATACAGCATCTTCATATACCTGTAATCGAAGTTACTCAATCGTAATGTGGAAGTGTGTTGTAGACATCGCTTACTGACCGTTTCACGCACGCATATTTTCATATTTGCTAGTACTTATATTTAAATGTGTATAATTTAGTATTGTAACAAAATAAAAGCACATTTTAAATAGGTCTAATGTATAAAATATGGTTTTAATCCACGTTTGTATCCATTCTAAGTAGACTATGCATAGATATCAATCTCTCTGTCCACGTCGATTGCTTTTTGGTAAACCCTATTGCTAATAACCGGACCTAAAAAAGTTTTAAAATGACATAGGTCTGTAAAAGGACATTGATATCTTTCTTTTTTAAGTTTTATAATGTATTCAGTTTTTGATCTATGTAAAAGTGAAATGTGATCGAAATTACGTAAACAAACAGTTTCTACTCATTTTAAATGATATTTTATTCTTTCTAAACATTTTTTTTCTTTGCCGGAAGAGCTCTTTTATAAACGGAACTCTCCATACATACGTCATTTGCCCAAAATTAATTTCAGCACTGTATTCAGCATTTATAAAACAAACTGAAGTAAGCATATAGGTGCATATATATATACAATAGTGTGCATAAACATTATTGTAAAACGCAGGATAGACTTCCATAGATCCAGTTTGTATGATTTTTGTGCTGGACTCATTTTAAACATTCAAAGGGTGGCTTTTGCGACCCAGCTATGACCCAGTCTTTTCCACATAGACCTACACCAATGGGGTGAAAAATGGTGTTTAAACCCAAGGGAACCAGAGGCTCTGCATTTTTTAACTTGGATAACATAGGCCTACTGTTGCATTATTATTATCATCCACTTAAACTTCTGCCATTAAGTGTCTCCACCCTAAATAGCTTTTGGTAACAGCCTGTTTCAAGGATGCTTAACAGGATTAATTGAGCAAAACATGTTGTTGTGAGAACAGAAGCAAACACTGAAAAGATTGCAAGGAATCAGGACATTGTTTGTTTTTTCCTTCCAGGCAAAACTGTTACTTTTCCCTGAATTGACTGATAAACAGTTCAGTATATAAGCTCTACCAGTCATTGATTTTGTTTTTATTTAAAACATGTAAAAAAAAAAAATCAGAAAAAAACTTAAAATCGATCAAGGGAAACTGTTACATTTTATTAATTGATTGGACACTTTTGTCCAAAGTTGCTTATTCATTTACATGTTATCAAGGCACCGGCGAATTTGTTGAGCCAAGTGGACAAGCAGCATTAGGCTTTTGGCTGCCAGATCATACATTTGAGTTAAAGGCAACAATAGTTTTTAAACACTCATTTACAAATTCCTGCTTGAAAGTAATTGGAAATGCCATGTGTGTTATAAAAAAGTAATAATATACATGTTAAGGCCGTAAACCAATGAACATGACAATGTTGTTTGATAGACTACGATTTATCTATTCTCTTTATTAACTACGTCTAGGGTGGGAGACTGTTGTAATGAAAACGTTTGGAGATGTAAAGTTAAGAATATTGTGAATTACCCACATTGAATTGTATAACTGAGAGATATATATAATAAGTCAATTACACATCCGTTTAGTTATTAAAATGTGCACAAAAATCCAAATTGCATTCACATATTCGACTGTGAGTGCATGTACTGTGAACCATTTTCATTAAGCGGCAAGGCACGCATATGTCTGTGCGTTTCTACAAGGTTATTTAATGTTTACGTGATACAAATATGTAATGTTTCCGGTATCTATCTCAGGCCACCCTGTCCAGTATCTATTCTCTTTTAGTTTACACATCCAGCATAGTCTGAAAACATCTCTTGTTTAAAATTGAACGTTATAGTCTTCCGACAGCATCATATAAGTTGAAAACTGACATAATTTCATATCTCATAATAATTTCATTTTAAAGACTGAAGAGCAGTAACTGTAGGCCTATGTTATGCACAAGGGCTCACGCTGTTTATTGAAGGAAAATATGATGTTAGGAAATATGTGAAACCTTAAAGAGAACCTGCTATAAAATCAGCTGTTTTGTAAGATGCTTAACACCTCTTCATTTGTTTCTGTAATTAAACCCCAGCGTTCCATCCGCAACAGACGCCCCCCCCCCCCTAAAAAAAAAACAGTTTCGACCCTTAACATCAGGCACTTGTATCTCGGAGTTTTACATGTCACGTTGGTTTCACGGTAAATGTGCATCGATATATTTTTTCTGTATACAAAAATTTAAATATAATTGCAAATAACGGCGAAGAAGAGTACATTTGTACAACGATTTAAAAAATATTTTTATGCAATGATATTGATAAATACTTTTTTGTTTACATAACTATACAGAGTATGGTACATCGAGATTTATATAGTTTAAACATTTTTAACTCATATTGAAGGCTTTATCACAATTCATAAATCCTGTGTTCACATAAATTATAATTTGGTTATTCACGGTAAATGGTTTCAGAGTTTATATTTAAATTTTATTAATGTAGCGCCTATAGACGCACGCATGCGCAAGCACAATTAGATGATTAACTTTACCTTGAAAATTAAACTCTATGCTCCACTTTGCAATAACCTGAATAGAAAGTTGAAAGTGATAAAAGATGTGACGCGTAACATGAACAAGTCGTAGCTCCCCTAGTGTTTCCCTCAGATCTCCAAAGACAAACTGTAAATCGTGCACGTCTGTATACGCTACGATGGACTGGCATCCCGTCGTGGGGGTAGCCTACATCTGCCTTGAGTTCCAAAGCCGCCCTTATATCTCGATGGATTAAAAAAAAAACATGTCCACATTCACTTCCCTTGCATGTGTGTCTATATTATTACCATTCAATTCCATTTAAAATCCCATCCATCATTATCCATCTTCCAACCGCTTATCATTCTTTAACAGGTTCGCGAGGGACGGGAACCCATCCAGGCAGTAGAGGGTGCAATCTATCACTCCTTCGCAGGGCACGAACACACACTCAGAGAGGGATTCAGACACCCGGCCTTAGTTGTGTGAGGCTATCGTACCACCTCTATCTAAACACCATTTATCTGAAAAATTTCACTTAATTGCTAAAGAGAAACTGCTATCATGTTTTATTTTATTATTTGATGTTCTGTCATAAAATACTACCTGTCGAGACACGCTATCGAGCCTTTCTGCGCATGTGCAGTTCCACCGTTTTGGGATTAGGGTTAGGTTTTAGGGGTTAGGGTTAGGGTTAAAGTAAGGGTTTAGGGGTTTTGGGGGGTTAGGGTTAGGGTAAGAGTTAAGGTTAGGGCTAGGGCTATCGATTAGCACTATGGTAGCATTTATAGACACTATGGTAGCATTTAAAGACAAGGCAGCATATATCGACAGAACATTTGATATTTATTTATAGCACAATGGCTCTTGACAAACCACATACAAAAACTCCAAACCCAGGTATCCAGTAATGATGACGCTGTTTACGTCATCAATCCTCGACGAAACATGGTTGCAGTTGCTGCTTTACTTTCTGCAGAAGGACGAATGTCAATAATACGATACTTCACGGTAACGTCAAGTCGTCTGGTTTGCCAGGCTTTAACTGTGAACCCAGTTTTCACGGGTATGAATGGTATGCTTTGTTATTTATAAATTCTTCGCCAGAATTTTATCAGTAAATCAGCATTAATATTCAGATCTAATTATTTAACGTTTTTGTAAACATCCGAATAGCTAGATCATTTACAAGCGGGGTGATTCAGGACAAGGAGCCACTAAGAAAGCCTAAAACCCCACTAGGCCGGCTTGATAGTTCCGAAAAAGAAGATACAGAAAATAAGGACGTCCTGGAAAGTAAGCATCGCATACATGTGGGCTCTCCGCGTTCATTTGAACCTTGGTGTTCTCTCGAATTGACTTGACTTAGTATGACGCAGTTTGGACATCATAGTTCTTTTAACTTTTAATTATCCAGTGTTAGTGTTTATGCCAAATAATCGAATGATGTTGGACGTTTCAGGATTCCCGGACGATATAAACCCTACAACGAAGGAGAAGGGAGGACCCAGAGGCCCGGAACCCACTCGATACGGTGACTGGGAAAGAAAAGGAAGGTGCATAGATTTTTAGAAGCCTTGTATAAACACAAGTAGAAACATGTAACTAAATAGCCTATAGTTACAATTTATTGAAACGCGCGATCTGCCAGCATAGACTGTATTAATAAATATGTATATCATTGTTTGCACGGACTGACCAAGGATCATTCTACCTTGCTCATAGTTGCCCCTGTTCCTACTTTAGTGATGAAGAATTGTCACAAGTGAGGCTGTATTCCTTATAGTGATTGTTGTTTTAAATTTTAGTTTCTAATAAATGTTTATTTTTAATTTGCCTGAATGCAGTCTACTGAAATGTGGAGCTACTCAATTAAAATTTGCATTATAACTACTTCTGTGTTCACTTTCTATACACATACACTCGTTTATAGATGGATGTAAGGTTAACTTAAGTAATGTACAGTTCTGGCTAAGCTTTATAATTATGGTTTGTGTTTGCCACTCATGCAATTGTATGGTACAATGAAGCTTTTCCAGTTAGGAGTCATATAAAATATTTACATTACTTATTGAAGAGTTAATTTCATTATGGGACATTAAATTTATTTAGGCTAATGAAATCGTGCTTCGTTCGTGATTTGCAGAAGTACAGGAGTCTTGGTGTGTTTTTTTCACGTACCCCATCCTGCTCTCATTTGAGATATACACACACGTGTATGACTGAGAGCGAAGCTTGGGTCTGAGCACAGATACGGGACGTCAATCCAGCACCCCTGGGACACTTTGGGTGGTTGAGTGCCGTACTCAGGAGCCCCGGTCATAAACACAGGGGCCTTACCTGCTGCGCCACGCACTGTCCCGTTCTTCTTGACATATTCTTGAGAAGTAAAGAAGCAGAAAAGCACATTATTTCCAGTGGTTAGTGATACAAATATTGTAAAGTGTGTTAATATGAAATGTGGTTAAAGGTTATTATTATCATCCCTCAACAATCATATGTGTTTATTTTTCATCCATGTACACATCTTAAACTCTAGTCTAATGCATGCGCTCCACCTGGATGATTTCATCACGAATTGTTGACGCTGTGGGCGCTTTTACCTCTACCGGTAAGAAGAACGTCACATGACTGGAGTTTAAACGCTGCTCAAAACGGATAAGAAACCGCCGCGTTCTGTTAGCGATAGGGATTTTCTTGATCTCCTGAAAATGAGAAGAAGTGATGCGTTGAAATTTTTGAGTAGTTCCCATTCACGTGTGTCTGGCATTTCAGCAATGACGTAACTATGTAAACGATTAGCTGTACAGTAAGACAGGTAGCACACATGCTAGAATAGTACGATAACAAAAACTTTGTTGATCCCATACGGAAGTTCTTAAATTAAGATAGAAAATGAAACTAGAAAATAATATTTTTAAATTATTAAAATTAAATAGTATTTACAACCAACAAAGAGACTTATGTGCTGATATTTTCAATCAGTCAGAGTTAGATCATTGATTATTTGCAGCAAACGGACTGTATGTAGCAAGTTTTGCCTTCACCTTTGAACACATTGCGATGCGTTAGTATGAGAAGCAAATAGCAAACGAAACCTTAAACCATCCCGGCCACTAGTGGGCGCTGCAGTTCCTGTTCCGGGTGTTTCCGCGCTTTGCCATATTAGAGCAGCTTCTTCTCCTAGCCGCCTCGTAGTACGCCGTGCCGGGGGATGGTACTGTCCCTGATTTAATTTAACGTTACGAAGAAACAAAAAGGAAAGCTGCGTGTGTGAGTTGTGTGGAGGCCGCGTTAACGGCGGGACAGCGCTGCCGGCGACATGACGACGCGTTCGGAGCGGGAGAAGGCTCAGAAACTCAACGAGCAGCACCAGGCCATCCTGTCCAAAATGCTGAGGGAAGAAGACAACAAGTACTGCGCCGACTGCGAGGCCAAAGGTACGGCGGAATGTGCTAATAGGTGCCGGTATTTCTCCGAAAACCGTCGTGCCGCACTTTCTCTAATGTCCCATTCATTAACACGCCGCTGTGCCGGCCAGTTAGCTTGTCGGCTAACTGCTAGCGCCGTCCGTCAGTCGGGGGCGTCCCGTTGCTCGGCGTGTCACCCCCAGACGCGGAAGACTCACGCTAGGCTGGATCATGGACTTTTGCCGACTGCTGTTGTGTCATGACTCAGGGTGTTTTATCCTGTTTCCCAGACCTGTAGCACCGGTGCTGTAACCTCCGCGTCCTCTGTCCCCGTTTCTCCCACGGTCTCCTACTTTTGTACTGGGGCTTTAAGTGACTTAGCGATGTCTCTCTCCAAGAAAGAGAGCGATCGCTCTTGTTTTTCTGCTTTTGAAGAGCAGCACTTGTATTGGTATTAAGTTAGGTTGTAAGGTGATTGTATGTAGTTTTGGGAAATGACGCCCCCCCCCCCTCATTAGATCCTTGCTGATCTCTTTCCCGTGGGAGATTATGGAAAGTTCGTGGGGGCTTTTGTGTTTCTTCAACTGAGATATGAAACCCGTTTTTGCTTGTTCAGGGTCATGTCTCTCCTAGTTGATATTATATCAAATATTAGTTGATATTGCTTATCCTGGGGCGTCGCCTGGCTCCTGCCAGTTCCAGTGAGGAACCAGGTGAGGAGTCTCTCACATCTTTTTACTGAGGAGCCAGACGGCGGTGGACCTCCTGAATAATTTACTCTTGGTGTGTCGTTTCTTGGCTATACAGAAAACAGTGTGGTGCCTTCTCTGTTGATTCAGTCTGAAAAGGTCAAGTCACTTAAGGTGACATTACTGATTCTTGTAGACTCTCTATGCGTGTGACGACCATGCACCTTTATGACATTTGCGTTAGATAATAGGCCCCCTGGACACTTATCTTAGACATTAGTTTCATGCACGCGCATATCTCCCCCCCAGTATGTTTGACAGTTTGGGAGTTTGGACACCTGGGAAACAATGGGACATTATTAGCCAGTGGATGCAGACGTAATGGCAGGAGAACTTTTCCATACGCTGGTATATGATATTGTGTACTGAACTCTTCTTGCTTGTAAGACCGTAAATAGTTTATGAGACCTAGTTCACTGGACACCCCGTGTCTGCTTGCTTGAGTGGAGTCAGGACATTGCAAGGGTGACGCCCATTACCGTCCTCTGAATCTACCCCATTTTCTGCCCCCTCTGTGGCCTGAGTTTGGGGTGCTTCCCTTTGGCCTCTTTGGGTAAAAGTGCAGGCCCTTGATTGCTTCGCCATTAATTAAGTGCGTATGCCATGCTGCTCAGGAAATAATGCATCACATAGAATATGAGTAAACTATGCTTTTGTTATGAGTTACTTCCTAAGTTATCTTTAAGTTGTTTATATGTCTACGATAGGAAGATGCAGTTCAAATACTGGCTGATTAACAGTGTCTTAGAATTACTAGAGGCTTTACAGCAGAATGTAATTATGCTGTCTTGCCTAGAGCACAGTGTGACGCATTGGTATGTTGGGTGAGTTCTTTCACAACATTACTCCATTCAATATACACGCAATGAGGCATTGTTTGTATAAGGCTGCAGGTGCTGTATTTTTGTCTGTGTGTGTTATCTGTGTATTTTTTTTTAATAGTCCTTTAAAGTCATTGTACGCCTCAGATGAATGTGTATTTGTTCCCAGCATAGTGCCATGGGGAACACCTACCTAAGAATCTAGCAGTGAGCTGTGCGAGATGTGGCTTTTAACCGGGCTGAGGGTTGGACTCTCCAGCAGAGCACAGAAATTATTCTTCCTCCTCTGTTTTCTTGTTGCAGGGCCCATTTGGGCCTGTTTGGCTCCCATAGGGCTGGCTGTTGTGACGGGAGGCTTGACTAGACTCGTACGACTTTCAGAGGGAGTTCCTCAGCATTTCCAAGATTAGCACTAAAATGTTGGTACTGTAGTGTCTGTGTGTGAGCACACGTCTTTGTAATTATTACATTGTGGGCACTAGATTTGCCCACAATATGATAAAACCCTGTTACTTTTTTACCTTGTGGGGACCATTTTTTCAGTCCACACAAGGATAACCTCAATTCTATAAAATATCTCTGAATGCAATCAAAAAACTAAAAATAGCACTTGTATTTTGTTGGGTTACTTATGGTTAAGTGAAGGGCTGGGTAGGGGTTAAGGTCCTCATTGTTGCAATGAGGGTTTTGTCCATAGAAATGAATGGCGTGTCCCCTTAAAGCATACATGGAACGTGCTCCTGAGCGTGTATATGTGCTTGCGTCTGCATGTTTGCACATGCACTGCTTCTGTAGCTTTAGGAATGCTAGAGCGACCGGTTCTGCCGCATTCATCCGTGTTTCTCACTTCCTGTTAACTCAGACCTCAGGGTTTGTGTTCCCTTTTGTGTCATCGTCCTTGTGTGACGTGTGACGAGGGAAAGGCAGACACTCCTGAAGTTTTATAATAATCCGCTTACGTGTGTCTGTGGCGTAGCCATGTCTTACAGCCACGTCAAACGTTAACACTTTCCTCACAATTTTTGACTTCACACAATGACACACTGGATGTGTGTCCTGTTAACGAAATATTTAATAGTATAATTTAAGGATTCCAGTTAGTGTACACATACATGCACACAAAGTGTGTATGTCTGTGTGCATGTATAATATATACATTTTGAGTATTTGCGGATACTGAAACCAGTTTGATATTTTTCCCCTTTATCAACTACCAAGCATATTTGCATTAATACATTTCAGTTAACATGACATCAGTTAACATCTGTGTTTAGTGTTGTAACGACTTTGAATAGGAAAATATAATGGTCATGTTGCTCAAACAAAAGTCTTGTCACTACAGTACAAGAAGTAATGCACGGCCAGTAAACACAATTCTCCAGTTCAAAATATACAACAGAGCACAGATAAAACCTGTAAGTAGTAATTAACCAAACTTTAGAAGGGATACAAGTCTGAACATATAGTTTGTATAAATGTTACTGTGTTCAGACGTAAGAATAATATGCACTAGTGTAAAGTACTGTAACCCCTTCACTGGGGTTAGGGGTGACAAGTCCCCACGAATGTGACAATTCATGAATAATGGGTATCCCTAACCTCCACCCAGAACAGTCTGCTAGTCTGAACAATAACGTAAGTCTATTTACCAATTTCCAAAGAAACAATACTATACTGTACACTTTGCATGTCAAGTTACTTTGTCATTTCTGAAGACCTGTCGATCCACTGGGATTTTCCCACACACCCATCTCCAGGGTTCACAGAGAATGAATCAAAAAAGATAACAAACCAACCAGCTAGTGGCGGCTCTCTGGGCAAAAATACCACGGTGATGGCAGAGGTCAGAGAACATGATGCTGCTGATAAAGACAGCAGTAACTCAACCACTTGTTACTACCAGGGTATGTAGAAGAGCATCTCTGAACACACAACATTTCAAACTGTGAAGCGGATAGGTTACTGCAGCACAAGACCACACCGGGTGCCACTCTAATGGTGCGTTCGATTACTTCTCTCCAAGTTGGAACTCGGATGAAAACGTCACGAAACGTCACGAAAAACGTCACATCCCGTCGGAAACACGCCCCTTTTATGACATTGAAGTTGGACAAGATTTTGTCCGAGTTGCCCCTGTGACGTAATTTCAACATGGCGACTTGGTTTGTTTGTAGCTTGTTTACCGTTCGAAAAAAGAATATCGCTATGAATGTACTAAAATATTTTATAAAGCTTTTAATGTGGTTTGACTAGTTCGTGTTTCTTGTTTGTCTCTCGGAAGAATCTCCATTTCTCCATTTGGATAACTCCAAATCTGCTAAAATATAAAGCAACAACACACAGCAACGTGTTCATGGAGGCCATGTTTGTTCCGAGATGTGGGTAGCTCGAACGGGAGATTGTCGGACGTGATGTCACTCAATTCGGAATTTCCGAGTTCCGAGAGAAAAACGAACACACCATAAGAAGAGGAAGCAGGCTGCCGTGGGCACGGCTCACCAAAATTAAACAATGGTAATTGAAAAAATGTTACATGGTCAGATGAGTCCTGATTTCTGCTGCTGCAGTCAGATGGTGGGGTCGGAATTTGCTGTAAACATGAAAACATGGATCCATCCTGCTTTGTATCAGCAAGCGACTGGTGGTGTAATAGTTTTGAGGATATTTTCTTGGCAAACCTTGGGCCCCTGAGTACCAATTCAGCATCGTTTAAATGCCATAGAGTATTGTTGCTGACCATGTCTGTCCCTTTATGACCACAGTGTACCCAGCTTCTAATGGCCACTTCCAGCAGGAAAACACGCCATGTCTCAAAGCTCATATCATCTGACTGGTTTCTTGAACATGACAATGAGTTCACTGCACTCAAATTCATAGTCACCAGATCTCAATCCAGTTGAGCACATATGGAATGTGCTTAAATGGGAGATTTGCATCATGAAGGTGCAGCTGACAAATCTGCAGCAACTGCTTGATGCTATCATGTCAACATGGAAAAAAGTCTTTCTGGAATGTTTCAAGCACCTTGTCCCAAAGAATTATTTCAGATCTTAAGGCAGGGTATACCTAATAAAATAGTGTGTGTATGTACAGCACTCACAGAAAGTCTTGGAGGGTTCATGGAATTTTGTAAAAATACTGCAAATTTATTGGATTCATAAAGTCTATTGACAAGCAGTGTTTAACATATCTAACGCACAGACATTTTCTTTTAATTAAATATCATAGTTTTGGTTACTGACTTCTTCAGTTCTGTTCTTTCAATTTTGCTGTTAATTGCCATTGTAGACACTGGCTCCCAAAGGGATACTGAACAAATGTTTAGAGTTTTATGTTATTGCAAAAGTGTTCCTACTTAAAAAGCACCTAATAAATCTCTGACATGTCTTGGAACATGCTTTTCGAGCTATAATTTGGGTTTCAGTTTAGTCGACCCTTCTGTATCATGACTTTCCCCATC